ATTTAGTGCAAGTGCAAGTCAAGCCTTGCATTTATAGACAGATGAACAGGTTGTGGTTTTGAGGCTGAGCATAGCAAAAGATGTCCTCTGGTCTGCTGGTTACTACGAAGATCTAGTCACAAATGTGCTGTGTTAAACCTATCCTTCCTCTTTGGCCTGACTAAATCATCAGTTGGGTTCAGGATGATACCGACACCTGACTTCTGAAATTAAGAGCACTTCTCTGGTTTGGTCCAGAAGATGAACTCTGAGGCTTAGTCTTAAAGAGCTGATGATTTTCTCAGATAGTCAGAACTCATTTTAGGAAACCAATTCTCCCTGTGAGGGTTAGCAGGAACTGAAATTAAGCATTTTTAAAATTCAGTATTAAAAACTTTAAAAACATTTTTCACTCTAAAGTGGAGCTAGAACGAAAGTGGTGAAATGGCTACTTTCTTTTCCTTTGTTGAAAAAATAACATGAAAATTTTTATAGAAATTAAGAAACTTAGTGTATTGTCTTTATTGTAATAGTATCTGAGGCATCAGCCATAATAGATCTCATTTATATAATACAAACAGATGTAGAGGGATCTCTGCTTACAGTAGATTCTTTAGTCTCTGTAAGGTACCGGGTGACTTACTAACTGGATCCAGTGAGAGTCATCTTGCTCAGGAACATCTACCTAAATAAGCAGTCGGATAAATATATGAGGAAGAGACCCACACTCACTGTCATAACGCTAATTTGGCTGTTGAGGGTGAGGACATGCTCGCTGCTGTCAGAGCCCACTCAATAACTCGGTACAAGAAGGGGAGTTTTGGCTCATTTGTACAGATGAGGATGCCTCCACACTGGGAAGAACACTTCTGCCAACAGTGTTGTCTGAAACTGAGGCAGAAAATTTAAACATTAAGGAGGAAAAATGTGACATGAAGCAATCTGTCAAAGGGATTGGAGTCATTAAGATGAAAAAGGCTGGGTGAACTTTAGAGACTGAAAGTTTCCTTAGCCTGGTAGCATACTATTGCAGGCTGGTGCCTCGTTTGAATACCACCACAGATCCTGCATCACATCTGTTCAAGAAATAAGAGCCTAAGCAGTACAGAATGGATGTAACAGATGTCAGAGGGTCTCTGATGTTTCAAGAAATCTTAACCCTGTTGATAAAGCATGATTTTGCAGAAGCTTTTGTGATCTAAGTCAGAGTTTCAGAAACTGATTTCAGGTACGTAGATGTGAAAATGTAGTGATGGGAAGAAAGAGTGGAAATACTGCACCTAGGGTGAAAAACAAAACCCACTCCCTGCTAATTCTGCGAGGCTGGAAACTATGCCAAAATCAAATGGAATAGGATAATGACAGCGAATTTTTGTCACTTCCGGAAGATGAACTGAAGCTCTCACTGTGCTCACGGCCACGTCTGGAGTGCAAAGAACGCTGCCAGTCAGCCTCCTGGGGCTGTCAGCACGGGTACCGACACTTGCTGAAGCTGATGGCAGAATTGAGATATTCCAGATTTAGAGAAAGAGTTAAAATCATAGCAGACAGCAGGTACAACAGATACCTGCACACTTATAATCAAGTGCAAAAAAATGCATGTCTATCACCTACTGCTTAACAGCCTTGGCATGGCAGGTACTTGGCTTTCAAGCATCAGCTAGCTGAGAATGTCAGAAAACACTCTACCTGACAAGCCATCTCTCCTTAGAAATCTGGTTTGTGGAGATCTCCTTATGATCGGGAATGTGACAGCTCTGAGCAAACCTGGGCTTCGCTGGAAAATATCAACATTGACAGAGCCCATGCCCTTCCTTTCTGGGGGCACAGAAGGACAGAGAGCTGGGGAAAAAATGAGATAGTCCGGCTAGCATGTACATGGCTGGACTACGCAGCAGTGGCCAGCATTACCATGCCACTGACTTGCAGAGATGCATAAAGCAGGACAAGGGCTTTGTTCAGAAGTATCATCACATTTCCTCAGAGACTGTGCTTTACAAACTGTGCTGATACTGCACTGAACAGATGAGTTTTTAGTCAAAAAAAAAAGTTTTTTTTTTTTTCCTCCAAAAAAAGTTTGGAGAAAACCCAAGGATGATTACTGCTTTCAGAATAACAAACATTTCATCTAGGAGAAATTCTGCAATGGCTAGGTTGAGCCAACCCTTTCTTTTATCACAACCATGAGAGCTAAAACTTGCTTCTTTTCCCTGCACTGAGCAGCTGGCGCTGCTTCAGAAAACTGTGGGTATCTGAGCTAGACTCAGCAATTGGCAAGAGGGAAGAGTATGGGACTGGTTCAATAGTGATGAGACAAAACACCCAGAAAGAACAAAAGCAAGACATGGAGGAGGTTTTGTGTCAGATCAGTGCAAGAAGTACTAGTTACTGGTCACCAGCACAATATAATGATGGCCATAAACCTCCTATTTCTTTAAAATCTTTAAATAGGTCGAAGGAACTGCCAGATATGCAAAGCCCTCCTCCCAAGCATAGCCAAAAGTTTAAATCAATTAACATTTTAGTGACTACATTTTCACTCAATTTCTAAATAGTAACAGCTGTAAGAAGTAATGATATTAGTGCACATTCATCGCCATTTTAGCTCTCTTGACTCCTGCGATTAGTGAGGAAGAGGTATTTGCCAATTAAGATAAGCTAAATATAGGTAAGGATGATTGTTTCATAACAATTTAAAACACGAAAAAGTCTGGCTTTCATCTGCAGATGGGGCATGCACTGATACACTACACAAGCTCTAATTATCCACTTACAGTTATAATTACAGGGATTGTCTCAAGCTGCCAGTCACTTGCCTTCAACATTCTTAGTAGTGAACTATTTACATTCCCTGAATCCAACCATAATATTTGATACAAGCTACACCTGCAAAGTTTTCATCATTAGCACCAGTCTGGAAACAGCACATCCAAACAGCTTTATGGACTTGAGTGGAAATCCTGAATTTGGACCAAGAGGCCTTAAATAAAGTCTAATAGGAACACTTCATCTACTGCAGATCAGTAGATACCTTTAATAGCAGAACTGGCCCCGCTCCAGTACTTGGCCTTGGCTGCTGCAGGCATTTTGAAGATAAATCAGCAATTTCAAGAGGTGAGGAGCTAGCTGTTCTGTACGCAAGCATCCCTATAGATGCTGTGCTCCACTGCTTGCAAACTGTAAGCAGGTACCCACTGCAGTTGGATATCTCTCTCATTGTCCTATGCATATCATTAATCAGCTTCACTCAAGGTATGAAACCCAAACAAAAATAAAACAGGCAGTTATTTAGTGTTCTTTTTTACCGTGCGGTAAGCTAAAATACGAAGGAGCATAGCCTAGCAATGAGGGCAAGACACTAAGTGTCTAGTCTGTCCTCATTTAAATCAGTGTGATCTTGCACTGATTTAAATGAAGCCAGGATTTCTCTTGAGAATCAGCAATAAGGCTGAGAAGCAATGATTTTCTTGCCCCCCCAGCTTTGTCTTCACAAACGTGAAACCTATTCAGTACAGGTTTTTAAAAAGTTTGAAATTTCTCACTTAGGGTTCAAATAAACTCAAACTTGGACCAAACCCTAGCAGCAATAGTTAAAATGAACAGAGATCAATGAGGCATACCATTTGAATACTGAAAGCAAAATTTACCTTGTTCAGAATGACAGCTCAAGGATGCAAATTAAGAATTGGGAATATTGTGGGATATAGGTTTTGGGTGAGCCTGTCTACAGGAGAATATAATTTACTCAAAATTTATATTTTATATTATTTGTGTGCTATCAATACAAATAGCTCTTTAAATGAGGAAAATCTCAGATAAAACTCATTTAACAGCAATATAGAGATCTGAGTCTGGTTTTTGTCTTAAGAAAAATCATGCTGATCCTCAAAATTTGTTCAAACATTAACCAAACTTAATGGCATACTAAATGCCATGATGTTTTGTTTGGGGGGTTTTTTTAGGATTTTTTTTTTTTTTTTTAAATAACTGAACCAAACGCATTGTGATTTTCTTCACTTGACGCACCTATTAAAAATTCACACCCTTCTTTCAGGTATGTTAGGAATCATTCCCAGTTCTACCACTGTGCAATGCTCTGTTTCTGTTCTGGCACCTGTTAAGATAAATATACCTAGGCTATAGATTTAGTACTGCAAGATTTAGCAAACATTTGTGAAACTCCGAGGCCTTGGAGCACAAAGGTATATGGAAATGTTGCTGTGATTGCCTTAAAAATCAGGGATCAAAACATAAAATCACCTTACACTGGGAAAAGGAATTTCAAGACTGCAGCCTTATCTCTCACTTTCTCCCTGCGTGCGCCTTTGTCCCTGTGTAGGGAATACAGTGCACTTACCCTACAGATAGCACCTGATATTTGGTCCTTTACGTTGGTCAGGTATGCACTGGGGGAGCTCAGCGGTATAGCCAGTGGTTCAAAGTCTACCCTCTCTTTGCCTTGTACATGAAGGCGATACAGGGAGCTCAGATTTGGACCTCCCATTTTAAATGTGGGTCCTCGTAATCTGCACCTCTATATAATGTAACTATAGATATGAACTGCAGTCAAAGGGTCTGTAAATGCCAGTAAAAATATTTTGTGAAGGGAGAACTTCAGGCTTACTCCTGCAAAACACATTTTTTCAATGAGTTTTTATGGCCACTGGTTCTATAAAAACAGAACTTCTCATTGATTTTTACTGGGAGTTCTACTTAAAACCAACAATATGATATGGGTTGATGATGTGTATTTCAAGACATCTTCTATTTTGCTATTCCCTAATTAATCCTAAGGGCAAAAAGGTTTTGGGTTTTTTTCATAGTGAGACAATAATTCTGATAATAAGTATTCCCTATCCATCAAAGCTCTCAAGGCAGTGCCCAATTGCCACTCAAGCTTTCAGGACATAAACATATCCTGTGTAGCTGTAAACTTTGCTGAATCAGGCGCTGAGCATTATATAGTTTCATACTATTGCCCTTGTTCGGAAAGACACATCCTCTTTTGACATAAAACTCACCTTTTCTTTTTAGGTAGGATACAGTTTCCTTCATTACTGGGGGGATTAGTTCGCCTTTATTTTTGTCCTTGATACTGTTAGGGGGGAAAAAAAAAGTAACAGCCTTTAAATGGCATTTATAGACAAAGAGTCAAAACCAAGATAGAATAGTCTCAGCAAAAAACTGAGAGATATCTGAGAGCATATGTTAAATTCCACAAATTCCTGCACCAAACACAAGAGTCCTCCACAACTCTAACAGGTGCTGAACGAGCCATTGAAACAAGTGACTCGGACTGCTATTCAAAGAGCCGTTCCTAAACAGTTCTTGCTAGAAAAGCTGTATAACTGCAACAGCACCGAGTAATAAGTAAGTGCTATTTCCTGTACTGAAGGGGAGTCAAGGACAGAGCAGCAGAATGATGTTGCAGGCTAACTTTGCCCCTACCCGAGATTGTTTTTGCTCTAGTTTTGTTGCCGTCGCTTGGCATGCCCCAGCAGGGCTGCATTTAACCGCGACGCAGTGATGGCAGTGGTGGTGGCTCTGATTGGATTTCGCTGGACGCCGTTGGTGGAACAGGGTTTCAAGGCAGCTTAGAGGCAGGCGAGGAAGGAGTTTGCAGCGAATGCTTCACAATAAGTCTTGATCAAGGGATGCTGCAAGTTTAGGAGCCTTTTATCGTGCAGATTTTTCTTTGTCATTTGTCTCTTTTTAAGCCACAGTGTATGTATAATTAAAAGGATATTGTACTATTTATTTTGAAGCAAAGTGATGCAGCGAGATTATTAATGCCTTGAATGATTCCCATGAAATGAGATTTCTTTCTTTCATGAGTGAACAGTTGAGGCAAAAAATTGAACATAGCATTTTCTTGATCTAGACAGTGAAGAAAATTCTGCAATTATCTTCCTTATTTAATAAAAAAAAAGTCTTTGGCAGTTTAAAAAGTATAACAAAAGAGACGGTCAGTATCTGCTGAGTATTCTGCTACATTTTTACAGTAATCGACAACAAAATAAAGGACCAATCTCAGCTTTTAAAGTAGACTTAATATATATTTATGTGTACAATTTCACTTTTGATATTTAAAAGGTGACCAGCTTTACTGACAAACTCTAAAGCACCAGCACAAAACAGCACAGAGATCTGTTACTGTATCATGAGAGGCTGCAAATGCTGCAGCTCATCCACAGAAAATGCAAGATGCTTATACAACATGTAACATAGCCTTAACCTAGTGCTGCTAGCTGAGGTTGCACCTGCAAAGGAGAATGATTCTTAGAGTCTTTTTCTTTTCCAAGTACTGTGATTTCTTCTCTTTCTCTCTAGGCTTGCTGATTACTTTATTAATATAAAACAACTGATAATAACTAGAGTGCATTTGATACAACTTCTGTAACATTGTTGCATGGAATGAGCAATCCAGTATTATATTTTGTGTTTAAACTACACATAAAAACTACTTTAAAATCATGGAGGGGTAGGGAAATTGTCAAATCCTCCCCTCCTCCTCACACTTGTTTTCCCTATGCCTATGAAGGGAGTTAGAAGAGGATATGTAGACTGGTTAATTTTGGACCTCCAAGCTTAAGGATGTTAGTCACCTCCAGCTTCACATATGGGGGTGGTGAGGGTGTTCCTCCAATGGGAAGACTTGGAGCAGGATCCTGACTTAGGTACTGAATCACCCTGTGGTTTTGCCTCTCTTACTCAAACTGACAGGGGAATACACTTCATGCTACTCGGTCATTCAGCCATCAAACATTTTGACCTTTCATCACTCCAGGGACACAATGCTGAGCCACCAGTGCCATTTCTTCCAGTTACAGTTTTGTTGCCCACCCAGTCCTACTCTTCCTCTTTCAAATTTTGTGTGTCATTTCCCCTAGCGCTATATTAACCAATACAACTTGTTACATGATTGCAACAAACTTCTTAATCTAGCTCCCAGAGCTCCTTTTATTTTTTCAAATACCTAGACCACCTTGCTGTTTGAAAGGAAATAAATTGTTCCTTCAGCTGCAGAACTAATGAAGTTGATCTGCTATGGATTTGTATCCTATATCCTACCTGTTTCCTCATCACAGTAATCTGAGATCATTTCCTTATGTCTTCTATAACCTCACTTCCCTTACACAGTATTTTCATTTCCTCCCCTCTTTACCTTGTATTTCATAGAATCATAGAATCATAGAATAGTTTGGGTTGGAAGGGACCTTTAAAGGTCATCTAGTCCAACCCCCCTGCCATGGGCAGGGACATCTTCAACTAGATCAGGTTGCTCAGAGCCCCGTCCAACCTGACCTTGAATGTTTCCAGGGATGGGGCATCCCCCACCTCTCTGGGCAACCTGTCCCAGTGTTTCACCACCCACATTGTAAAAAATTTCTTCCTTCTATCTAGTCTAAATCTACGCCCCTTTAGTTTAAAGCCATTCCCCCTTGTCCTGTC